ATTAGGATTACAGCATAGAATGATCAAAGTTGAGCAAAATTTTAAAATGTAGAAATCATCTATTTCTCTCTATTTGTGGAGAATGATTGTGCGCCAACTGTCTAGCATCCTTTGAAAGAAACGCAGAAACCAACAGAAAAAATAATTGTAATGCTTTTGTTTTTCAATTATCCGTTAGGAAATTTCAGACCTGTTCAGGATGTGTGATATTTATTTAGACTAAGACTGAAACAAGTTCATGACCACTTGGGATCCCTTGGATGTAAGATCGTGTGCTGAGATCTGACGGCAATGCGTCGATTGATGCACTGGTCTCACTTTAAGGAGTAACTGTCTCTCATCTGAGAGCGAGATTGGAGTCTCCATTTGCTTCGGCTTGGTACTCTGTACGACATGTTTCCAGTTCTGTTTTGAGACCTTGACCTTAATTGGTGCGGTTGATAAACTATAACTGTAATGTCAAGGCCCTGTTTTGCTGAGGACTAGGGGTCTAATGGCCTACGTTTGATGCATACAGGTCAAAACTGAGTGGGAGCGAGATTGTTTTATGTCTATTCTATGTAAATATTTGCCACACATTTTCTTGTTGTTTTAGAAATGAATTTCTGTTCTCTGAAAATATTGATTGAAGTTTTATTTTGAATTCTGTAAGAGTTAGTGAACTGCTTTTGCTTTCATACTGCAGTATCAAAGTCCATCAAATGGATCGCAGCCAGCCAGGTCAAGAGTCTTGTTTATGTACCTGAACGCATTGACTTTAGATCATGACTAACATAAGATTGTCTTTTAACAATTTAGTATTATCTTTGGCAAAAATGTTCTTATAAATTTGTTGTTTTCTTTTTTTCTGTTCTAGGATCTGTGTCTCACTGTTCATATACTCACAGTTTGATATAACAGAAGAGTGTCCCATAATTGTCTTGAAGCCCACTTTGAGTAGACATCCCTACTCTTTGAAGTACACTTTTCTTAACTAGGTAGCAGCTGCTTTATTTATAATGTGGTTTAACTCCTTGCCACAACTAATTTTGAAGTCAGCTCCCACACATACTTATCTCAGCCCTGCACTATTGCGTCCAGAAGAACTTTCTGTTTCATGATCCACCCTGCCTTATTGTTGCTCCTGCAGTGGTGAGTACTGTATTTTACTATTGTGACAGCGGTAGCTGTGGTTGTCACCATTCTGTGACATGCTTATTGAATTTATGGTTATAGAACAATCTACTTAATCTTCTTCTTGTTTTTTAGAGCAAAGGGGTAATCCATGGAAAGAATTGTGAGGTAAAGCAGGCTCCGTCCAAGTTTGTCTGTGATCATGATCCACAATGTCTTTCATGATACTGGCTTCTAAGTAAAAGTATGAAGTTTTCATTTGGCAAACATTTTTTTTTGTAATATTACCTCCATTGGAAGTCTATAGTTTCTGCATGATTGTGTGTATCTGTCTTTAATGTACTTTTTACTTGCAGCTCACCTGACTTCTTGGCTTATCTGTGGTTGCCCAGTGGAAGTTGAGGATCTACAATAGACGGGTAAGTGCTTCTTAATTTTTTAAAGCAAGATTATTTTGTCTAATAGATCACTTTAGTAATGAAGGTGATACATGTTACTGTTTAGCGGCATCATCTATAAATTTCTTGCCTTATTCTGTGTATACCCCAGAGAAATGAAGCAATAGTGCAACTAAATTGGCGGAAGTACTAGGTGTATGTTTAATGGTATAGCTACTTTTCTTGGTGATAAGGTAGTAACAATTTCTTTTGTTAGAGTGCACAATAGTTCCAACTCTGTATCTCAAACCATCCCTGAGTTATAGAAAAGTAACTCTTTTTTTGTAAAGGGATGCTTTTAGGCTCCTTTATGTTCCACATTTTTGCTGTAGAGTTAAGATGCCCTAATTTATTACAAAATGGTTCAGGCTTTTCTTTTTCTCTTGAACGCTTTTTATAAATTTTAACAATAGAAGTTCATTTTGCATGGAAAGTTGTGTTTGTCTTCCCTCCTCTGGCTTAGTATCTCAATTAACAACTCTTCCAGAGTTTGATGTCCTCATAAAGTTTTCTCCAATATCTTTTTACATAAAGTTTTGAAAGCGGAATAACTTGTATTAATATATATATAGATTATGTATTCTTCTGTAAAGGTTCATTTTAGGGATTCAATTTAAAAAAATTCCCTGTGCATTAGGTTTTGAGTGACCTGCCAGATCAAAATTAGAAATTTTATCCTTGTTTTCCCTCCTTCAGTTTTGACAGGGCAAATATTGTAATTTCTTCCCCGTAAAGCTTTTTGAACTTCGGAATCTTTTGAGATACAAACTAAAGAGAATGGTTTTTCTTAGTTTTAAGTCATTCTGAGAAATGAATGACCATCATTTAGACACCATTTTCACTGTAGCCTCCCCTTCAGCCAACATCTGCCGGGCCTGGGCACCAATGCTATGGAAATGTTCTTAACATGCATGAAAGGGTCTCCCTTTCATTGTGCCCTGGTGTACAAAACTTCATTGATATGAGCCCTAATGTCAATGAAAGTTCTCTCACTTTGGTAAAGATGGGTCCGTCTAGACTACGAGTTGATGCTCTTGTTTGGCTGGAGTGTATGTTATGCAATAATTCAATCAGTTTGGACGTTTCTTATGTTCCCCCCTCGCTCCCTCGCCCTTGCCTAAGCAGCTGGTTCTGCTCGTGGTGCTGACGTTGTAATGCATGGTGACCGCAAGCCTGTACATCAGGCGCCGCTCTGGTGAGGATGCCCTTGTTGGAGTGCATGTCGCCACGTATAGCGCCCTCCGACGACGTGCTGGCGGGACGCAGCTCGCAGCTGCTGTTGGGCGTGTTCTCTACGGGGAAGTCGAAGGTCTCGTATGGGAACCAACTATACCCTCTCTGACGAGTTTCTCGACTACCTTCTATTTGGTGTACCTCGGGTATCTTCGGCTGTCGTTCGGCTCTTGCCTCCCCCGCGCCC